ACACACACACACACACACACACACGATATGTTTATACCCAGAAAATGTCTTACACAGTTTCAGAAGCAGGCAAGTTTCAAGCTATGGATCAGATGTTAGGTTAGAGGGTTCTCCTGACTTATGGAGCTCTAAGGGCTGATGAACCCAAGAAAGAGAGCAGGGTTATGGCTGCAGAGGCTAATGAATCCAAGGTTGGCAAGTCACCTTTGTGGTCGGAGAGGGCAATGAATCCAAAGTTGGCAGCTGAGATATCAGAGAGCTGATGACTCCCAGGATTAGCAGACAATATGGCAGGCCACTGGCCCAACTCTAAAGAACCAGAGGTGGACCAGCCAGAAGCAGGATCCAAACCTGGCAAAAGCAATCAAGCATTTCCACAGTGTTTACCTACATGGGAAGCAGCCTGACTTTCTAGGAGATCATAACATTAGGGATTAGTAGTTGTTAACTGCCAAACCAATGAAAATCCTGGCCCAGTCAAGTTGACAGAAAACTTTAACTATCCCACCACCTAAGCAATGAGGCTCTTTTTTCCCTTTTATCTCCCACGCCAACTGTTAATATAAAAAACATTGGTCTTGACATAGTTGATTAGTCTAGGTATTTCATTTAAGTGGGATCATGTGATATTTGCCCTTTGTAACTAATTTATTTCACTCAGCACACCATTTTAAGTGTTATACCCCAAAGAACTGAAAGGTCATTTGGTCTTTATTTCAGTTGACAATATGATGAACTATGTTGTGCTTTGTAGTAGGTAGGTTCTTAATAATCACACTTGTAGAACTGAATTTAAAGGCTTCAAAATAATGATTTTTACCTAGTTAATTGTCATGAGAAATTCAAAAGAAACCTGTCCTGATATGAAGGGGTGACTTTCTGTGATGTGAATATCAGCATCTTGTATGGCAAGACATGCTCTGATGTGTGACATTTGGAGAATAGGGTAGCATTTGGAAATGGTAGATGTGTTGGCAGATAATCTTGGACTGGTGACTTCTTTTGGGCACCTGTCTGACTGGCCTTTCACCCTGGCTTCTTTTCACAGGTGTCGCAAACTGCCCAGGGCCTTGAAGGACTGGCAGGCTTTTCTGGACCTGAAGAAAACCATCGATGATTTCAGCGAGTGCTGTCCCCTGCTGGAGCACATGGCCAGTAAGGCCATGATGACGAGGCACTGGGAACGGATAGGCACTCTTACAGGCCATAGTCTGGATGTGGGCAATGAGACCTTCAAGCTCAGGAATATTATGGAGACACCACTTCTAAAATACAAAGAAGAAATTGAGGTACAGTTGAAAGAGAGCCTGATGTGGTGGGATATTGCCGATCTCACGAGATTTATTTGAAGAGCATTTGTACAATGCAGGATGCAGGTTCAGTAAATCAAGTTAGGACAATTGTGCTTTAACACATGTTTCTTTAGTGTGACAAGATCTGTGATGGGTGAGGGGCTATCAGAATGCATCCCTGCATGGAGAGATCATGAAAAGATTTTTGTCTCCATGGGAGAAGCCCGGCTTTCCAGATGGGAGAACTGCATTCGGTTCGTGGACAAGCACTTCGCACAGAACTGCCTATGAAGTCATGGGAGGCTTACATGCTGCTCTGATGCTGAACAGCTTCCAGGGGGAGTTTCTAGATGAAGACAGAGAGTGTTTACTTATATATCAACAGAAAGGCCTAGAAATCTCCTTCGAAAGATCCATCTCGGAAAGCTCGAACACTAAAAACAGCTGAATCCACAACGCCATGAGGGTGGTGCAGGGCCAGCTAGAATTGTGTATGGAGCCACCAGGAGTCAGGGACTGATTTGAGGGCAGCTGACAATAGCAACAAATTACAATTCAGTAATCTTACAGATATAGGTATAGCGATCAATTGAAGTGATCATGGCATCGCTTGGAAGGAAAGGTTTGCTGTTCTATGAGAGCCTATGACAAAGAGGTTTGACATGTAGTAAGACCAGCGCTTGCACTTTTGCTAGGACATCTGCATCAGCGCAGTGAAGGAGAGAGACATTGAGCAAAAGCTGAAGCAAGTGATCAATGAATGGGACAACAAGTCCTTCATGTTCGGCAGCTTTAAGAGCCGCGGAGAACTGCTGCTGCGAGGGGACAGCACGTCTGAAATCATCGCCAGCATGGAGGACAGCTTGATGTTGCTGGGTTCGCTGCTGAGCAGCAGGTAGGAAAACCACCCTTCTTTTTACCTTACTATCGAGAATGATCAAAACACAGATTTCACGGGAAATTCATAAAAAAGCACACGATAAAAATCACTCACCTCCCCTTTCCCTTTAGCCAATGTTTAAATTACTTGTGTGAGCGCTAGCCTTTGGACCAGCATGGGAAACACTGTTTATTTCATTACCCTCCCTCTGCGGGATGCCTCCATTGATGGTACAACATGATGCAACAGGCAATTAGCCACTTGGACTTTGCGGAGTATTTCAACTTTGCTGCCGACAAGCCTCATTGCGTGTCAGACCGTTAGCACAGCATGTTCAGGAGGCCAGGGGCCAGAATCATTCTGAATTCCAGAATGGTCCTTCTACTTGGAAAACCACTTCTCCCAACATTTATGACCCGGAAACTCTTTGTTGTGTCTGTTCTTTAATAGCAAGGCAGACCCCGGTACAGACTAGATTTAAATCAAAGAGAACTTGTTGTTGAGTCACTCCTGACTCATAACAAACCTTTAGAACAGTTGCAGCCAACTTGGAACCAGGGTTCCTGAGTCCCACCACTGATTCTAAGCCTCTCCTGCTAGGCAGAGGGAACCCCAGGGACATCGTGGGTTATGTGTTGGGCTGCTAATGGCAAGGCCAGTAGTTTGAAACCACCGTGCACTCCTTTGGAGAAAGATGAGGCTTTCTACTCCCCCAAAGATTTATAGTCTCTAAATAGTAAAATCCAAAACTGGAGGAGGGAACAGTATTAGAGCTTAAATTCTGAGCATCCGTTGTGCAGAAGGCTGTGAATGACAATGAAAGCCCAAAATCCATTAGCGGGGGATCCACTTGGATTGGCCTCTGGTGAATCCCTCTAATCACTGGCCATGGATTTGGATAGTCTTGCTATTGCTATCAGACACTACATCAGAAAGTGGACTCATGCAGAAGTAGTCAGGTTAAAATTTAACACCCTATCATTCTCCTTTTAGACTCGTTTTCAATTGGTTTGGTTTTTATTATTTTCTGTTATCTTTTCAATGGAGATTTTCTGTTTTACTTTGTTATTATTTAAAAATTTTTCTCATTTATATTATATCCAAGATAGGTAAAGCTATAGAAACAGTAACAGGATTATAAGTTACTTGGGGTTATATCGGGGAGGTTGAGGAAAATGGGGAGCTAATAATAATGAGCACAAAAAAGAAAATGTTCTAAAATTGATTGTGGTGTTAATTGTACAACTCCTTTTAATATGTTTCAACTATTGAATTATATGATATGTGAATTATATGTCAATAGAATTCATAAATTAAAAAAAAGACTTACAGTCTTAGAAACTCACAGGGACAGTTCTACTCTGTCCTACAGAAAGAGCCACTATGACTCAGTAGCAAACAGTTTTACTGCTCTGGATCTAAAGGGAAAACATTATGTCCATGTGTTAGTCCAAGTTGACTAGAGAAACAAGTCCAGAGACACTCATGTATAAGAGAGGGCTTTATATCAAAGAGCAATTGTATACTGAGAAAACATCCCCGCCCATTCCAGATCATGTCCATAAGTCTCATATTAGCCCATACGTCCGATACTCGTCCATAAATTCCTCTCA